TTATACACTAACAACAGAATCACAGAGAGAAATAAGAGAAGCTACACCCTTCAAGTTAGCAACCAAAAAAAATGAAATATTTAGGAATTATTCTTATGAAAGAAGTGAAAGACCTATATAAGGAAAATTATAATACACAGAGAAAAGAAATTGAAGATTATCTCAGAAAATGGAAAGACATCCCTTGCTCATGGATAGGAAAAATAAATATTGTGAAAATGGCCCTTCTCCCAAAACTATTATACAGATTCAAAGAAATACCAATAAAAATACCATCAACATACCTCAGAGATCTGGAGAAATCACTCCTAAAATGCATCTGGAACAAGAAGAGACCTAGAATAGTAAAGACAGTTCTAAGCAGCAAAGGCAAGACAGCAGGCATCACAATTCCTGACTTGAAGTTATACTACAAAGCAACTGTAGTAAAATCAACATGGTACTGGAATAAAAACAGAGCCAAAGATCATGGAATAGATTAGAAGATACAATCACAACTATAAACACACTTAACCACCTTATCTTTGATAAAGGGGCCAAACATGTTCACTGGAAGAATGACAGTCTCATTAATAAATAGTGTTGGAAAAACTGGCTCTCCATATAGGAAAAACTAAAACTAGACCCATGCCTATCACCATGTACTAAATTAAAATCTAAATAGATCAAAGATCTGAGTATTAAAACAGAAACACTAAATCTACTGGAAGACAAATTGGGTAAAAACCTTGAAGACATAGGGGTAGGTAGAGCATTCATGACCAGGAATCAAACTGCACGGGGGTAAATACTTTCCAGAATCAATAACTGGGATCACATCTTATTAAAAAGTTTCTGCATGTCAAAAGAAATCTCCAGCATAGTGAAAAGAAAAACGACAAACTGGGAAAAAAAAAAAAAAAAAAAAAAAAAAAAAAAAAAAAAAAAAAAAAAAAAAAAAAAAAAACCTTAGTAAACTGTCCCTCAGACAAAAGACTTCTGTCTAAAACATATGAAGAACTAAAAAAAAAATGACACCCCCAAAATTCAAAGACTCAATCCAAAAATGGGCATCTGAGATGAATACATAGTTCTCAGATGAAGAAATACAAATGGCAAATAAATACATGAAAGAATGTTCATCATCATTACTCATTAGAGAAATGCAAATTAAAACCACATTGAAATTCCATCTCACTCCAGAAAGAATGGCCAGGGTCAAGAAAACTACCAACAACAAATACTAGAGAGGCTGTGAGGACAAAGAAACTGTCCTGCACTGTTGGTGGGAGTGTAGACTGGTACAACCATTGTGGAAGTCAGTCTGGAGATTTCTCAGAAAGCTGGGATTGGAAGCCCCATTTGATCCAGCTATTCCACTTCTAGGCATATTCCCAGAAGAAATGAGAACATCATACCACAGTGATATATGTGCACCTATGTTTATAGCAGCACAATTTGTAATTGCCAGATCTTGGAAACAACCTAAGTTTCCACCAACTGAGGAATGAATAAAAAAGTTGTGATATTTTTATACAATGGAGTGCTACTCAGCTATAAAGAATGATCACATTGAGATATTTATAAATAAATGGATGCAGCTTGAGACCATACCCATAAGCAAAATAAATTAAACTCACATGTATAAATACTGAATAGTTTCCCTCATGTAAGAAATGGTAAGAATACATAAAAGCAAGTGGTGATCATGATTCCCCATTTTATTGCTTTGAAGCTTTATAATGTTTTCATTCATTAGCTGGAATGATTTATTTCTGGGTTGTTGGATTTTATTGTCTGTGATAGTATGAACAGCTATTCTGAAGAAAACAAGATATTATAATAGCTAGTGTTGATTTAATATCATCTTGTTTTGAAGTCCCACCAAGCTTTTGTTCTTCTGTCTCAATCAGTTTTATCATGTTGTATCTTATTAGATGTGATAGTATAAACAAAAGTTTTTATGGATAAGGAGATAATATAGTAAGCATTGTTCATTTTCTGTTAGTTGGTTCTGAATACCCTGTAATACTTTCATTCTCTTGAATGGTTTTCCACTGTCTTGTTAGGTTTGATACTATAGTGTATAAGGGATACTCAAATTTCAGGAAATGTCAAGGAAAGAGATACTATGGTAGCTAATGTTATCTCAGATTGTCCTGTGGCAAAACACTATGTTGCTTAAATTCTTCTGTTCTGACCTGGTTGGCTCTTTTATTTTAATGTTTTTTTTAAATTAAAAATAAATAAATAAAATATATAAAAAAGAAAAGGGATTCAAAACCAAAGCAAAGCAGCAGAAGCCCATGATACCTGTCATAGCCAGTCACACCATAAATGTCACATACATATACTAAATCTCTTGATGAATGCGATCCTTATGTACAACAAACATATACTTACAAACATAAAAACAAAAATAGTGATATTTTGAAGAACCGAAGAACTGTTCAAAGACACTGCAGCTTTTGAATTGTAAGAAATTAAAATCTCCAGAAAATTGTAAGTTTAATAAGAAATGATAGTATCACAAGAAGAGATGAAAGGCTCATAAAAATATAAAACACTGGAACAAAAAACAGTAAGGTCAAAATTAGCCACTATGATGAAAATTTTCAGATGAGAAACCACAGCAAAGAAAATCACATAATCATATAATAAGCAGAATTGAACCAGAATCTTTTGTTATGATTCCAAGTAAACTATATTCTGAACCTGTCACTGTATCCCACACTTGCAACTTTGGAAAGTTTTGATATTCAGAGAAGACCAAGATTCTTAGTTGCAGAGATTTCCATGTATTAATTATTACTTGCTCTCCATTTGTCTGCCCACCTATGTTTCCTGATGTCCTTCAAGTTAGGTGTGGCTGAATCTCTAAACAGTCCCAGAACACTCAGAAGCACCACATCCATGCCTGCCCCATCAAAACTCTCTAGGGATCATATGCATTCTATTTCAATTTGTGGGCCATATTAGTAAAAACTCAAAGAAATACATAAACGTGGGACACCAAAATGTATCCTGGATCATGTATGGAGTGACCTTCCCCATCACCAGTTGAACCAATCATCTTTCCTTGAGCTATAAGATCAGCAAGCCATGAATATCTGCATTAGTCAGACTCAAGTGATTGTTTGCTATAACGATTACCTTACCCTAACTAATAAGTAAAAATAATTACCCAGACCACATCAAGTGTAAAATGTTTAATTGTAAATTGACAATTATAGTTTTATATTTTTAAGATACAAAATAATTTATGAATAAAATGTGGAATTAATTTAAAACAATTAACATGTCCATAAGTTCAATTTTTGTTTTGAGAATATCTGAAATTTACTCACTGATTTTGAAATGTAATACACATTATTATTTACTATATTCACCATGCTATGTAATATACCTGAAAAAAGAAAAGTATGCTTCTCTAATCATCTTTCCACACCTCCTATCTCCTGGCTTCTGATAAACACCATTCTACTCTGTTTCTTTAAGTTTGACTGTTTCAGATTCTACATATACAAAGGGATGAGTGATACTTGTCTTTCTGTGCCTGGATGGTTTTACTTAGTGTAATGTTATACAGTTGCATCCATGCTACCCCAAATGACAGAAAACCCTCTATGGCTGAATAGTATCCCATTATGTATCTATATCACATTTGAAGTCTATTCATCAGTCAGTGGACATTCATGTTGCTCCCATTACATTGCCAGCATAAATAAAGCTGCAATGAACTTGTAAGCACAAGCATCTCGTCTACAGACTGATTTAAAATGTTTGGGGTAAAGATGCTTATGGGGGATTACTGGGCCATAAGGTAACTCCATTTTTAAAAAGTTTCTTGAGGAACTTCTGTGCAGTTTTCCTTAAAGTCTGTACTGATTTATATTCCCATTAATAGTGTCCAAGGATTCTCATTTTCCTCCGATCAAGTACTTTTTGAACCATTACGAGGAATTAGCCTGATAAATTAGGAACACCAAAGATAGAAAAAGTATGGTCCTGCTCTAAGTATTGCTCTGAATAGTAGCAAGAGAAGAGAAGACATGAACAAGTAAGAACAGGCTGAGACAATGGAAGCTATTGGAATTAGAAGCAACAAGAGAACATTTCTAGCTGTGTTCTTTGTGCAAGTCTTTAGAGAAAAAACAATAGTTCATCTAAACTTTGAGGGACCCATCCAGGATCTCAAGGGAAGTGAGATGATAGAGTGAAGGTGCTTCATGTAGTAGGAATGGCCTGAAATAAGACAAAAGCAAGATCAAGATATAGAGTTCTTTTAGGGATAAAATCCAGGAAATTTGTGAGACATCAGAACCAAGTTTTGAGCACTTTGAATTTTAAGGTACATTAGCTGTTGCTGTATAATAACCATGAAACTTAGAAGTTTAAAACAACAATCTTTCATTATTTCCCAAAATTCTATGACTTCTCCAAGAGAGTTTTGCTGTTTAGGGGAGGTTTGGATGGGTTCTCTTACATACTAGCATTCAGCTACAGGTTCAGTCGGGAACCAGCTCATCTTGGACAATGTAAGCTGTCTTTATTTAACAAGTTGCCAATCACACTAGCCTGGAATTATTTTTATATCCGTAACACAGGAGAAGATTAAAAAGTCTCTGCTTGAAGCAAATATCAGAGAACAATCCACATGATCAAGCCCAGAGTCAGTTTGGGAATGCAGTATTCAAAGTTGTACCTAGAAAGATGGGTAAAAAATTGGTATTCTTAATGCAAGTGTTGTCTATGATTGGTATATATGCTCAAATGTGTGAATAACTGATTCTTAATCCAGAGGCCTAGTTTCCCACCCCAGATTTGAAATTTCCTTCCTGTGTGGTGGGTATGGCATTTAACTTCTCTGAGCTTCAATTTCCTCATGTGAAAAATGAGGATAAAATGTCACCTATATCACAGGTTATCTGAGGATATCATAAAGTAGTATAAATAAGGAATAAATAGAAGAGCTTGACATGTGTTTTTCCCTATAAATGTAAGTTGTTTTTGTGTTTTAGATTTACAGAAGTGCAAGTGTCACCATATGTGCACCCCAGGAAGTGAGGAGAGGTAAGGTGGTGATGTATCCCAGCAGGAGACTTCCCCCTTATACAACTTTCCTTAAGCTGTCTCTGACTACAATTCCAGTTCTTCTGTTAGTTGGCAATTTTTTAGACCATCAAAGCAAAGTTATTCCTGCACAAACTTAAACAGATAAAGAATAATCCACCCAAGGCTACTGTAGTAGTGGAGAGAAGCCCGAACTGAGTCAGAATTAATTCCATGAGAATAAAAGATGGTCGCATTTTAAAGAATTTTGATCAAAAACTACCAGGGTCATCCAACCATAGTCTGAACCCTCCAAACATGTGATCCAAAACTTCCTCTTTGTAAGTTGATAATTTCAGTTGTTTCCTTAACAATTATAGAAAGTGGATTCAGAGACCAATTTGGTTTGGTAAAGGATTTTATCCAAAGGAAAAGGAAGCCCTTCTCCCCAGTGCAACCAGTCATTGCACATGTTCATGACAGAAGGTAATTTCACAATTTAGAAGTTAGGCTGCTCCCCTGATGGACACACAGAGGAATGGGGAATCATCTTCCTTGCTGATTACATTTGCAAGATATGGTTCTTAGGTAGTTGCAAAAGACAGTCTTGGCTTAGAAAACTGGCAAGAGGATTTTCATTAAAAATGCCATCTCAAAGGTGCAGGGAAAAGATTTACAACCTCAAGTTTTAGGAAGGAAAAGCATTAAGAAAGGGAGGATGGAGATTAGAGCCAAGAGGAAGTCTCTATCTAGTTTAATCAAACTGTGGGGACATTAAGTCTCATCCAGAGTTCTATGTGCTGGATAACATGCGCCTTAAAAATGCAAGGTGCAGTGTTTGGTCAACCAGTAACTTTTTATTTCACAATATTTCTGGTAGGGTTTTCAGCCTGTGGTGAGTTACTACTTTAGACACTAAACAGTGCCCCAGCGAACATTCAAAATGCCTACTTCACAGCCACAGTTACTGTAAAAAAAACTTTTACATGAAGAAGGGGCTTTTAAAATGTTTATAGTGAGCAGCATTAATCGAAACAACAAGCCAAAGGGAGAGGAATTTCAGATTTCTAGAACATATTTTTGTGTTTAGTCTATAATGCATCTATACATTCTTTGCTCAGCACAGCATGTTTCTTGGAACAAATTTTCATTAGTTTCTGGTGGTACAGATGGTGGAAGAATGTGTGAGTCCCTTGGGTGCTGAGAAATTGAGACAGTTGGGATTGCAATAACAAACGAGGAAGAAACACCGATCTGGATGGTAAATGTGGAAAAAGAGTGAAAATAACAATAATAGTAATAATTGGAGAAGCTAGTTGGAAACTAAAAATCCTTATGTCCATGCCAGGGCACATCTGTCTGTGCTAAATGTGAGAATTCAGCCGAACTCTCTCTCATGCAGGAATGCTGCACATGAGAATTTAGTATTAATATAAAATTATCTCATCTTGGGTTTGAAAAATTATCCTTAACTGAAGCTTTTCATTGTAAAGTAATACAACATTTGGGGAGTTAAAATTTTGAATTTGAATACTGGACATTGTATATTCTTGTTGAGAGATCTGAGGCAAAGGAAATACCGTGAACTCCAGCATTTCATCCACAAAGGGAACAGGTCGTGTTACATCTTGAAGGATTCTGCTGTGGATAAGATGAAATCAGCTAGGTAGAGAGAAATGCGAGTGCTAGCTGCTAATCTTAGTTGTCAGTACCCATTGAAGTACTAATCAAATATTCCCCAAGTGGGTCTTTTTAAGGGGGTAAGTGCTGCTTAGCCTGTGAATTCCATATGCATGTCTTCCCACTTCCCTCTGTACAGCCAGTGAGAACCATGATTATGGTAACGTGCAGTAACGTTCAGGGTCAGCAGCAGGAAATCCACAGAACTGAATGTGCATACAAAAACATATTGATTATTTTACTTATTGATTGCAATTTAATAGATGAAAATTGTGTTTTCAAGTGAATGTACACCACTCCAAGGAAGGTCAACGATGGTTTGTCACAAAAAAGGGTAAAACGAGCAGCTTAGCATGCTGTCCAGTTGCTGCTCAGGGTGTTCAGCGGAGCCCAGTGACTTTTGCTGTGGCTACATTTGTGTGTGCTTTTGTCTGATGATGCAGCAGGCCACAGAGATTAAGGGAGTATTCTGATGGCTTTGTAGAATGGTTGCTTACCTAGATGCCCTGAGATGCCCTGAGCTTTGATAATCACCTCCCATATTATGTTTGAAAAGAAATCAGTACTGTTTTTGTTTATTCCATCTCTTTATTTATTCTTTCTACTTGGGAAATTTTATAGTAAGCCATATGTAAAAAGGTTTTACCCTAGGGCTGATGGGTTGCAATGAAGGCATGTGAAACAGCTGAACTAAACTATTTTTACACTCAGATCTTTTGTGTGGAAGTCAAATTTCAAAACTTTAGACTTTGTTAACAGATTGCAGTCTACTTAATTAATAAAAACTCCTCATCTATATGTTCCACAAATTTCATAGCAATGGTTCTCAAAGATTAGCAGATGCACAATTCATGAAGCCTCTTGACAAAACTACAGATTTCTTGGAGGTGGTGGTAGTGTTGAGCATGAGCTCTGATTTACTGGGAAGATTCTACTGGAGGCTGACCTTGAAGATTTTGCCCTAATTGACTACCAACATCGTTTTAAAAAGTCTCCATCTGTGACTTAACATTCCGTTTCTATACTGATGTAATCTCTTACTTGACACCTTAAGAAACCTGAATTCCATGATCTACACCTTTTACTACGAATGCAGTCAGTACTAAGAAAGAATGAGCTATGAGTTTGTGAACCAACATAGATGCATTGCACAGATATTATTATTCGTTGAGTGAAAGAAATGGCATACAAAAGAGTTCATGCTGGATGCATTTATTTATATGAAGCTTAAGAATAGGTAAAATTAATCACTGATGATAGAAAACACCATCTCTGAGTATGTAAGTTGCTAATGATGCCTCATAGGGTATTTTAAAAGATCTATCTTTTGATCTGAGTGATTATGTGAGTTCCAAAAACACTCAAAGAATCAGGTAGCTATGGCTCCTTGATTGAAATTTCTAAATACACGGCATCTGTGTTTTCTATACTCCAGTTTAATTACACAGACATAAATACACACACACACACATGTGAGAGAGACTTCAGACAGGTGAACAGTTAGCAGAAATGATCATTTTTTGCTACTATAATTCTCTGATGAGTCAAGACTACAAATAGGCAGGGAAGCTTCTCTAACATCCTTTGTTCACCCACATCACTCATTGGCCAGCCATAGGTAAAATCATATTCTAGCTTTAAAGTTCATATATTTCTCAAAGAGTCTACACATCTTGAGAAAATAATCGTTTTTCATTAGATTGTGAACAGAGACAAAGAAAAAGTGATTCTAGAAATAACCTAGTGTGGTGACTCTCAAACCTGCTGTATATCATAATCTCTTGAGGATCTGGCGGAAGGTTTTTATTAGGTTGTACCCTGGGCCAGCTGAGTCAGAATGTTTTGCAAAGGGTCCAGAGAACTTTTTAAGTGTTTTAAAACACATTTTATATGCTCTCTAAAGTGCTCAGTACGTGATCCCTCTGGAAGTGGTCTACATGTATGACTTGGGAATCAGAGTGAATCCCAATATAGGTTATGATGCTTCTGGAGATCTGTTCATGGGTGACATCCTTTTGGTCTTCATGGAGTGGCTGAAAAGTCCCAACACTATCCTTTTACAGATGAGGAGACTGAAACCCAGTAAAGATACTCACCTTTGTTTCAGGAAAGCAGGAGAAGACATCCTGTCTCATTTGTGTTGTGAATGGCAAACCTCTCTTCTTAAAGAATTTCTTCAGTGGACAGTTAAATGCTTCAGGTGATAACTTAGGATAGTACAACCTTTCCAGCTATGAATGTTAACAAATTTTCTGGGTTTGTCTGAATGAAAATTCTACTGATGGAAGATTAATATTTCACAAAATACAATACAAATCAAGACCCAAAAATGAAGACTTGTATTATATATCCCCACATTTTTATTTGAGAAAATAGGCTTTAAAATGAATGAATACACCATGGAATATTTGCTAACAAAAGTTTCTGTGCTTCTCTTTGGTCACAGTAGTTCAGGATTGGTCTTTATAATACTTTCGGTAGCTGTCTATTGGTTCATTTTGGGTATAATCTTCCCATATCTTCCAGCTAGAAGATTTAATTATTCTGCTTTGGTGCAGACCTTCCTTCCCACTCCACACTCTTGACCCTTGGAGACAACTGTCATGCCTCCCAAATACTTGAAAAAGTGGTCTGGGTTTCTTTTAGTGACGTTTCTCAGTTGCAATTTTTTTCCATTCTAATTATCTTGAGCCTTCCCATCAGAATGGACTCTATGTCTTCTACATTCTTTTGAAATAGCATTTTGAGAACAAAAAACTCACAAGATGAAAGGCTACATGATTCCTGTGAGGTTCCCTGTTTCCTGCTCCCTCCAGCTTTCATCATTATAAACAATTCTCAGTCTTTGGCCTATGAAGACTAATCTCACTGTATTCTAGCCTGGTGTCTGTGAATGCTAAAACATTCTAGATCTCCCAAGTAATGCTTTATTTACCACATTATCTGGTGCATCACTTTTCTGACCCTATGCCCATGCTTCCATTTACACTTCCCAAGATGTCCCTCTATCCCACAGGACTTGCTGACCTGAGTAGAATCCCTCTAACTGCACCTCTCCTGGGAATGGTCTCCACTTTCTGTTCTGTTGGGAACCCTGCTGTCTTGCTTGGTTTGAAAATCAGGTGGTGGTTATTTTGTTCTCACACTGACTGTGTTGCTAAGCCTGAAGATGGAGGGTTATCTGGCCCTTATTGCTCTCATCTAATTGTTTTCCTCTCTATATACCCCCAAATTTGGACTTTCATATAACTTTCTCTTTCTTCTACCCTTTCCTTTCAATTGTCTGTCAACTCCTTGACTTGCTATTTGCATACCTTGAGCTTCCTAGCTCCTGTGTAAAT